ATTGATTGAATCTCTAAATTTTATTAGTACCACATAAATTGAGAAAGAAGAAATAACCTTTATTATTTGAAAATTGCGTAAAAGATATTACAAATCATACAACAATAATTAGCAATTTAAAATGTTAAAAGACATAATTTTTTTTTTACCATAGTTAACAATAATTAAAATTTAAACTATTTTAGATTAATATTAAAGTTTGATTAACTCTTTAATTTTGTCTTTGTCACATAAATTGAAACAAAAAATGATACATATTGGGCCCGTGCTAGCACGGGCTCCGATGTCTAGTATATATATAGACTACAATTTAACAGATATATCAATACAATTCAGGTCTCTCCACTATCTATCCTCTCTCGCTCAACTTTCTCCTTTCTCTCCCAATCTTGTTCGCATTTCTCCTCCCTCTAACATGTAGCTATGAATCGTGATTAGCTAACAATATTTATGGAGCCTAATATAATTACGTTATTTTTAATGGCTATTAGCGAAATTTCCTCTTGATTAATTTAGACTTCATTTTTTTGAAAGGGCCATTTAGAAGATACGTTCAATCTAAATTAAAGCTACGTTCAATCACTTTTTTGATGTGTTTTTTTTTTTTTTGTATTTTAAATTATTAGTTATTGTTATTTATAATATAACTAACGTAATTTTTAAATTTATAATAAATAGAAAGACAAAATGGTAGTAAGTGTTTTTGGAGCCATTTTTGTCCATCAAATATCAACGGAAGCATTCAGTTTTAATGACGAAATTACCCTACCTATTGCCCATACCATATCTATCTCCTTGTATTCTCTGACACATTTTTGTCTTTTCGAAAAAAACGTTTTATAGTGAAAAGAGACATTTGCGGTCCTATCAAAAATCAACAACTTCAATTTTCAAAGCGATTTTTACGGTTTGGTGAATGTGAAGGTGAAAAAATACACCACAATTAATAATGGAAAATTGTATAAAATGACAAATTATTAATTCAAATTAAATATTATAGTCATAATTTATTTTAATTATAATTCGCAGCAAACATTCTTTTTTTTTGTCATCTGATTCGATATGCAATTAGCCATGTTTGATATACAATTAGTCATTTTATACATTTCAATATAAAATAAGTTTGTAGTTGTATAAAGCAAGAGAAAAATATATATACAAATATAAATATATATATTTCATCATATACACTTATAATTATACAAATACATATCTTATTATATAAAATACAATGTATAAATTCATTTATACAAAACTGAACAATTTGTATAAAATTAGATGTTTGTAGCGAATTATACAAATCAAAAGCTCTATAGCAAACATAAAATTTGTTAGGGAACGCAATTATGCAAACTATAAATTTAACATACAAATATAATTTTTATGTTTGCCATATGTGAAAGTTGCTCAAAAATATTTCCACCATTCTAAGTTTTCGTGATAGTTTTCAGATTTCAACCATCAATTAAGCGTTTTTTTAAAGAGTGGTAATTTTTCATATAACTTTTATATATCAAGGTTGAGATTTATTTTAAAATAAAATACTTCTTGAGAGTAATGATAATAATAATAATAATAATCAATTAGGAATTATCTACTTTTTAAATGATGAATAGTTGAATAGAACGTGGATTGTGGAGGGAGAGAAACATGAATAGTTACTTTTTCTATTGATATTTAGGGTTAATCATCACTTAAATTAAAAAAAATATAGATTTCTAATAAAGCATAAAAAAACTTTATTATTATTATTATTATTAAAATAATTCTCAGACTTTATATTTCATGAATATGATAGTAATTATGGAGTTCTTATTAATTTCTAGATACTAATTATGGAGTTCTTATTAATTTCTAACGGGAGAAGGGTCAAATATGTCCTAAACTATTTGAAAATGTCTAGATATATCTCGTTTGAAGTTTGGCTCACTCGTGTCTTCGTCATCCAACTTTTCGCATAGATATGCCCTTGTAGACATTAGTTGCTTTGCTGGAAATAACAGATCATTTTGCATTTCTTTAAATGACAAATGAAGTTGTCACATCCCTTTTTAATTACTACATAGCATTTATATATATATTTTAAATTAATACACCTTTTTAAATAGCCCATCTGACCCGTAATCTTTCCTTTTAACCCATTATCAAAGCCCTTGTGGCAAACTTCTTCATTACCATAAAAAAAAAACTCGCAGCACTAGGGTTCTTGAGAGCTCTCGTTACCCCCTCATTGATTTCATTTCAAGAAGCTCGCACGACGCTAGGAAAAGTGTTCTAGTCATCTTCCACCGTTTAAATTTTAAAAAAATGAGTTAGGGCTCGAGTGTTTCAAGTAGATCGACGATGAACTGTCAATGTGGTATTGCAACGAGAATTTTCACGGCTTTCACTCTAACGAATGCTGGAAGGTGCTTTTATAAGTGTTCTAAGCCTAATGTAAAATATCATACAACTTCATTAATTTTCAAATTTTTGGCCATTGTTGATTTCAAGTTCATAATTGTGTAGGGTTATAATTGTGATTATTGGAAATGGGTTGATGATCCGCTCCATTCTAGAGTTACAAATCTCATACACAATTTTAAAAAGGAAAACAATAATCTTCATCGTGAAAAGAAAGCTTTGGAGACGAGGTTCACTGATCTTGAAAAGTATTTGGCATCAGATATTGAAGAAAACAATGAACATCAAGATGAAATTAGTGTTTCCAAGAGTGAGGAGGTTGTTGTCGATAATGAAGAGGTTGTTGTTGATAAGTCTTTGATAGATAATAATGATGGGATTAAAAAATCTAAGAAAAAAGCTTGTAAAATGTGGATTGTGATAGCTATGTCGTGGTGTTGTATTGCAACATTCATCACATTTTGAGTGATGAAATAGAAATTTCTAACATTTGTCATATGTAATTTGTAATCTTTAACTTAGAAAACGTTAAATATGTTTGTTGTGATTGATGACTTTTGAATTCTAGTAGATATTTTGATTTATATGATCTGTTAATTTCAATATAGCAACAATTGTAATTTTGTATCGAACATATTTGCTAATTCGATTTCAATTGGATAACTTTGTTGGTTTTCAGCCATGAGTGTGCTCATAGTTACTGGTACAACGTTTGTGATACCTCATCGCCTTACCAAAAATCAAAGTCAAAAGAGTAGGCACAAAACTGAAACTTCAAGCCACCAGATTTCTTGAAGACAAATTACAGCTTGAAATTTACACTCATACTGTATTACTTTAGGCCTTGTAATATGTATTACTTAATAGGCATAGCACATATTGTATAGATAATTTGAAAATATCAATAATACTGCAATGGTGTCATAAATTCACATAAATTGAAAAGGACAAATAAGATAAACACAGCCAAAAGAAAGTATCGTTGATGCCATTCTACGAAAGCTTATGAAAGTTTCACCTAACTTAATCCTCATGAACTAGCCCCAAAAAATGACTATCAGTTATATTGTTTGTCAACCAACTGTGGTTAACCATGAGAGCATTATTACAAAAATTAACATAGAAAATAAATTACGATGAATTATCATCGGATGCAGGTTGTCATTTCCCCTTAACTCTCATCATTTTGATTCTTTTCTTATTTGCCTCCATCTGCACATGTCTAACAGAGACATCTTTTTTTCCCTTTTCATGTTTTTTTGACTGGATAATATGGTAGATTAGTTGGCACTAAGGCACCAGTGT